TTAAGCAAAATAGTGTTTCACCACAAGATATCCTGACATAAAAATAGTTACCATAGTGTTTCTTTCCTTGAAATCTTTGAGTACAACTTCTTATACTGTAGTACCAAACATATCAAGACACTATAAAACAATTCAAGAGAATGACATTATTACAAGGTATTTAGAACCAATTAACAGAAAATGAACAATGATTTCTATATAAACTCCTTGTCTATAAAAGTTTTTGCTTATGTTATCATATATAATAAAATCCAATAAGATACAACTTTTTAAGACCAATGGAGACAGAAGAATACAAGTTTGATGGGACTTCAAAACAAGATGATACTAAATCAGCACTAGCTATTATGATGTCTTGTTTTCTCCAAAATAGCTGTTCCTCCATCTGATCTTCTCTGCTTCATTTCTGTTGAGCTCTTTTTCTGTCATTTGTTGTCAGTTTGTCTTCTTCATTTCGTTTTCTGCCCCATTCATTGTGGCCTCTCTGCCACTATTTCTGGAATCTTGGTATTTTCCATTTTTAGACTATCCTGCAGTATTCTCTGTAGAATTGAATTAGTGGTTGCAAATTCCCCTAGTTCCTCTTTATCCTGGAAGTACCTTGTTTTTCCATCAATTTCTAGGGACAGTTGTGCAGGATATATCAATCTTGGCTGGAGGTTATTATCTTTCAAAGCTGGAATTATTTCCCCCCACGCTTTTTGTGATTTGATGGTTTGTGCCGAGAAGTCTGCTGTAATTCTGATAGGTGTTCCCTTGTAAGTGATCTGTTTCTTGTCTCTGATGGCTTTTAATATTCTGTTCTTATATTGGATTTCTGGAATTTTGATTATTATATGCCTGGGTGTAGCTCTGTTTGGGCTATAGGTGGCTGGAGTTCTGTATGCCTCATATATCTGAGTATCTTTACCATTTGCTAAATCAGGGAAATTTTCTTGGGTTATTTCTGTGAATAGCTTTTGTAGTTCATTTGTTTGTGTCCCACTTCTTCTCTTATATTCTTAATAATTAAGTTATAGATCCTCATCATCTTCTAGTTTTTGTATTATTGCTGTTTGGTTTTTTTTGCCATTTTTAAGAAGTTTTTCATTTCATGCTCCCATATTACAAATCTGCCCTCCAGTTCAGATAATTTGTCCTTAGTTTCTTTCAAGCTGTTATGCCAGTTTTCAATACAGTTTTTAGTTTCCTGGTAATCTCTTTGAACCTGTTTTATGTATTTTATGTTTTCTCTATCTTCTCCATCAAACAATTCTCCCATTTTTTTTTTTTCTGTTCTTCCATTCCACCATCTGTTTTTTCTTGGGCGGTGCTTAGCATTTCTCTAACTATTCTGCTTATGTCTTGTTTCAGGTCATTAATAACTTCATTCCTGAACTCGTCTATGAGGCTCTGGAGATAGTGCTTTATGTCTATTGGTGCCGTGTCTGCTATTGCATGTTTCTCAGGATTGGGGGCCAAGGACCTTTCTTGTTGCTCCCTCTTCCCATATTCTTTGTTCTTTATATTTAAGCATTTATAGGAGGCCCAGCTTCCTTCTCTGTCAGCCAAAGTCTGTTTGAATTGCGCTGGCTAGGTGTTCCCCGCCCACTGCAATGCACCAAGGAGACACAGACCTGGGCAGTCTATGCCAGGCCCGCCCCTCCAGGTCAACCTACCATAGGCTTCACCGCTAGGGTGCACCTCCAGGCGCTGGGACCAGAGTTGGGCTAGTCTGTTGGGTCTCAGCTAGCGGCATCTCGCAGGCCAGGCACTCCCCACCAATCCTGCTTGAGAGGGGGATATGTGACTGAAGTCACTGAAGCATCTCGTTCTGGGAAATCTTCCTGGTCCGAGTATGTCCTCCGCTGAAACCTCCTTCTCTATGGAAGGGTCCCAATTTGCTCACTCACCACAGGTTGATGCAGGGCACCCAGCCAGTCCCGCTCCCAACTCCTTCCAATGCTTCCCACTCTCTGAGCTTTCATGCTTCTCTCCCCACTGTGCCGACCAGGATGCAACAGCAGCTGCAGGTAATTCAAATCGCAGTTTCCAGTAGTGTGGGGTCCAGCTTCTGTGCTGAGACCTTATCTGTTCCTGCGGTATCACCGGAATCGCGTTTCCATTTGGTTTCTCTTAATTTAGTTCGTTCCTGGGTCGGCAAAGGACTAGGACTTCCTGCCCGGCCCCATTCCTGGATTTCAAGTGAGGTTTTTCAAAGAGCCTCTGAGGCTGCTGCTATCTATCCGCCATGTTCTTCCAGCGGGACTGGGTTTTCTTTTGAAATTTTATAGATTATTTTCTCTTGGTGACTTGGCAAGTGAATGTGTTATTGCATATTGCATATTGTACCATAGTAATTAAAATGTAAGTCCGAATCTGAGTCCCTTAAAGGTAAGTTTTCCTTCTTGTAAATCCTTATATATTTTCATGTACTTTCTTGTCTCATGTAGTTCTGCTAACTTTATCTTTTGGGCTTAGTGACTCAACTACTGTATTAAGGAGGGTGATACTTTATTATTTTTTTACTCATTGCTGATACTCTTATTTTTTTATTCATTGCTGAGACAAAATACCTGATGCCCAAAGTTGGGAAAAGAAAGGTTTTTTTCTTACAGTTTTTGGAGGTTTCAGTCCATACTCAGTAGGCTCCAAGGCAGGGTGGCAGGGCTGGTAGCAGATCATGGCAGCTGCAAACAGCAAGGTGGAAACCTGCAAGAGAGAGAGAGAGACACACACACACCTCCTTCCTGGCTCCACCCCTAATCCAGTGTAGCACTCACACCCCAATCCAAGCGCTAGACAAGGGCTGGGGGTTTAGCTCAGCAGCACAAGCACCTGCCTGGCAAGTGCGAGGTCATGAGTTCAATCCCCAGTACCAAACACACAAAAAAAACAAAACAAAAACCAAGCGCTAGACAATGAACCAATCATAAACTCATAATGCAAACACATGAGGCCTGGGGGCTACCAATATAAACCATGGCACTAACTTAACTCGGCTGAATGTTTTCTTCACAAATGTTAACATCAGGACACTGCATATTCTCTCTCATATATAGAAGCTAAAATAAGTCAAGGTGAAAATTCACATTGTGATTACTGCAGATTAAAGTCTATTACTTGTGATTACCACAGATAATTACAGATTACTACAGATTGGGAGGGGCATATGTATGTGTGGAAGGGTAGTAAGGAGGGTTTGGATTTGAGTAGTGTGTGCTGTCTCCATATATAGAAATGTACTGAATCCTTTATATATATATTTAAAATTTATGAATCTTTTAAAATACACAATTTATACTTGTTAACAAAAAATAAAAACAAAAATGCCCCTTTAGGAATTGTTTTAGTTGTATCATATAAGTTTTAACAGGTAATATTTTCATTTTCAAGAGTTTAAATATTTTGGTTTCATTGTAATAGTTTCATATGGCTATATTATAACCATAAATTATGATTCTAAGTGTTTGATTATATAAGGAGCTTATTATATCTTTGTAGTTTTCCTCTAGTTCTATCTGATTCTGTCCATAGATAACTTTTGAAAGAATTATTTGGTTTTACATCCTTTATGGCCATGAGCAGGATGAATTTTTCTAAATTTTTCATGTGTACTTGAATAGAATTTCTGTATTCTAATTCTTGGGTGTATGCTTTGACCTATTGGTAATGTGGATATCACCTGGTATAGTGTCCTTTAGATCTCATTTTGTTTATCCATTCATCAAGGGAAGAACATTGAAGTTCTTTATGCATTTTGACTACTAAAATCGTGTAACTGAGAACACTCATGCATGTTTTTACATGATCATATTTTCAGTTCACTCCACAAGACATCTGGGAGTGTAATTGCTCCTAACTCTGTGCTTAACCATTTGAAGAAATGTCAAACTGCTCTCCAAAGTTGATGCACCATTTTATATTCGTACCAGTGGGGGAAGAAGATTCTGATTTCCCCACATCTTTGCCAATCTTCCATTTTCTCCTCCTTCCTTCCTTCCTTCTTCTCTCTCTTTAAAATTATAGACATCCTAGTGAGTGTTATGTGATATCTCATTGTGATTTTGATTTCTCTAATGAATGATGATGTTGAATAATTTATTTGGGGGGGTACTTGGAATCAAACTCACAGCCTTGCACTTGCCAGGCGAGTGCTTGCACTGCTGAGCTAGATCCCTGGCTTACGTTGAACATATTTTTAAGTGTTTTTGTTTATATATATATATGTATATATATTTCTTACTGCACTATCTATCCAAATACTTTGACCATTATTAAATTGGTATTTGCCTTACTGTTGTTTTGTCATATTTAAAATATGCTTTCAATACTATTCTGATCTGGAAATTTGCAATATAATCTTCCAGTTTTGTGTTTTGTTCCATTTTCTTTTGTGAAAACTTTGTGGACTTTGATGCACAAGACTTTTTAATTTTGACGAAGGCTCATTTAGTTGTTATTTGATTTCTTTGTGTGTGTGTGTGTGTGTGTGAGAGAGAGAGCCTAAGAAACCATTGCACACCCAAATTCACTAAGATTTACTCATATATATTCTTTCAAGCTGTTTTATTTTTAGCTCTTACATTTGTTTTTAAAATGAGTTAATTTTCATGTTTGTGTGAGGTAGAGATCCAATTTTATTCTTCTTTATGTGACTATCCAGCTGACTCAGCATGATTTGTTGAAAAGATTATTATTTTTCCATCTAATGATCTTGGGCCTCTTGTTGAAAGTTAATTTGCCATAGATGTATTAGGTTATTACTGAACTCTCATTTCTACTCCAATAGTGTCCATCCATTTTTAAGAGAAATGTGTTAACATCATGTACTGAGTATATATTGATGCACTCTGTTTATACCTTGACAAAACATAAATAAGTATAAAATATATACATATATTACATATATTAATATATATATATCACATATATACATACATATATATATGACAGAAAGAGAGAGAGACAGAGAAGAAAAGTGAGTGAGAGAGAGAGATTCATTAAGCAAAGGTATTCTTGAGGACAGAGGACTTTTAGTAGCGGAATGGTAGGTTACACAGGTTGTCTGCATCATCGCACTGCATATGTAAAGCAGCAGGAGCTGGAGGAAGTGCATTTCTGGAGTCACAGCTTGAAGTTCGAGGACAGGCTGCAGGTGCTTGTGGAGCACTGTGCTGCCCAGCACAGTAGTAGGTTCCTACATCATCAAGCTTGGAGGCTGGAATGCTCAGGAAACTGTTCTTCCTTGTTTCATCTGACCAGGCAGCCACTTTTCCACTTGTTATCAATTCATCACTCTTATATATAGTTATCAAGAGGACAGGAGCTTCTCCAGGGTATTGCTTGTACCATAGAAAGTAGTTTAATGTTGTTGAAGCACTGCAGTTCATGGAAACGTCCTTTCCTTCCTGCGTGGTTATAGTCTGAGGACTCTGTTTCAACTGTTGACCACTCACAGCTGGTTAGAAAAACAAAAGAAAGTTACAGTGTCTTCAGATCACTCTTCTCAGACCTGTGATGGACACTGACTATATTCTTGAACTCCTTAGCCCTGTTGCCATATTTTTCCCTTTTCTTACTCCTCTAGATTTTCTTTTTTGTCTCTGTCTTTTCACAGACACAGGTAAAGCCTTATCTTCTGCCCTCACAGAGTTTCCACCCCTTCAGAATTTTCGGAGGAACAATAAGAAATTCCCAAGACTCACATGTGAGTTGCAGCTGTAGGATCACTAGTAAAACTTCAAGGAGCATTTCCATCAGCAAATATTGATCTCCTAAATGGGTTATTACTTCAGTATACTCTCTGGGCTTAGCACAATCAAACACACACCAAGGTTATGTCAAAACACCCATTCTGTGTGTCAGCCAATCCAATTGCTCACTAAATGTTTCTTAGCACTTTGAGCTAACCATAGTTAATTATGCATGGAGACACTGCCCCCCTCTGGCTGGATGCTAGATTCTGGTCCTTTCAGATCCTTCTACTTCTGTCAGTCATTTGATGAACACACTTTTCTAGTACTCGCTATATGCTGACTTTCGCCAGCATAGAGGCATGAACAAAGCAAACAAGGACTCTTACTTGGGCATTTTATAAATCTCTGGAATGTCAGTGAAGGGTGCATTTTTTGATTAAGAATAGTAGGATTTTTTTATTTTAAAGAGATTAAGATAGAAGAGGACATAACAAAGCAGATGAGAACAGAACAAAATTAAGCAACACAGTATTTCACCACAAGACAACCTGTTACAACAGTAGCTACCATAACGTCTCTTTCCTTGAAATAGTTGGGCATACCTTCATACACCATAGTATCAAACCAAACAGAATAATATAAAACCATTCAAAAGAATGAAAGTATTACAGGGCATTCAGAACCAAATAACAGGAAACAAACAATGATTAATATATTATCTCATTGTCCATACAAAATTGGTTTATACTATAACACATAATAAGATACAATAAGATACCGCATGATAGAACCAATGGAAACAGAAGCACAAAAGTATCATAGGACTTCAAAACAAGATAATAATAAATCAGCACTGGATATTATAATGCCTTGTTTTCCTCAAAATAGCTGTTCATACCATCGCAGATAATAAAATCAAACAACCCAGGATAAAACCATTCCAACTAATGAATGAAAACAATATAAGGCTTCAAAAAAATGTAATGGGGGATTATGATTACCATAAACTCTTATGTACTCTTAAAATTTCTTACACTAGAGGGACTATACAGTATTTATACATGTGATTTATTTTGCTTATGAGTATGGTCTCAATTTGTGACCATTCATAATTTCATAAATTTATACATATATAAATATCTCAATGTGATCATTCTTTACAGCTGAGTACTACTCCATTGTACAAAAATATCACAACTTTTTTATCCATTCTTCAGTTGATGGATACTTAGGTTGTTTCCAAAATTTGGCTATTACAAATTGTGCTTCTATAAGCATGGGTGCACATATATCACTGGAGAATGATATTTTCAGTTCTTCTGGGAATATGCCTAAAGGTAGAATAGCTGGATCAAATGGGACTTCCAATTCTAGCTTTTTGAGAAATCTCCAGACTGATCTCCACAATGGTTGCACCAGTCTATACTCCTACCAACAGTGCAGGAGAGTTCTTTTTCCCCCACAGCCTCTCTGGCATTTGTTGTTGGTAGTTTTCTTGATCCTGGCCATTCTTTCTGCAGTAAGATGAAATCTCAGTGTGGTTTTAATTTGCATTTCTCTAATGAGCAATGATGAACATTTTTTCATGTATTTATTTGCCATTTGTATTGCTTCATCTGAGAAGTGTGTATTCATCTCAGATGCCCATTTTTGGACTGGGTCTTTAAATTTCAGGGGTTTGAATTTTAATTCTTTGTATGTTTTAAACAGCAATCCATTGTCTGAGGGACAGTTCACTAAGATTTTTTCCCAATTTGTGGGTTTTTTCACTATGCTAGAGATTTCTTTTGACATGCAGAAACTTTTTAATAAGACGTGATCACAGTTACTGATTCTGGGAAGTATTTCCCATATGGTTTGATTCCTGTTCATGAATTCCCTACCTACCCCTATGTCTTCAAGATTTTTACCCAATTTGTATTCCAACAGATTTAGTTTAGTTACATTTATTGATTTACATATGTTGAACCATCCCTGCATGCTTTGGATTAATCCTCTTGGTCGTGGTGTATAATCTTCTTGATGATTTGCTGCACCCTGTTTGCCGATATTTTCCTGAGGATTTTTGCATCTGTGTTTGTTAGGGAGATTGGCCTGTAGTTCTCTTTTTCAGTTGGGTCTTTCTCAGATTTTGGTACTAGAGTAATACTTGCTTCCAGGAATGACTTAGCAAGAATTGCTTCCCTTTCTATTTCATTGAAGAATTTGAGGAGTGTGAGCATTAAGTCTTCTTCATATTTCTCGTACAATTCTGCAGTGATTTGTCTGGGCCTGGGCTCTTCTCTGTAGGTTAGGACTTAATTACATTTTCAATTTCATTAATAGAAATTTGGTTACTCAGCAATTTTACATCTTCTGGATCCAGCTTTTATACTCCATATGCTTCTAGGAATCTGTCCATTTCTTCTGTGGTATCGAATCTATGAAAGTAGAGGTTTTTGAAATAGGTGTTGATGATCTTGTGTATTTCTATAAAGTCTGTAGTGATTTCACCTTTTTCATTTCTTATTGCATGAATTTGAGCTTTTTCTTTCCTCTGTTTAATAAGGTTAGCTAGGGGCTTATGAATTTTATTTATTCTTTCAAAGAACCAACTCTTTAATTCATTGATTCTTTGGATTGTTTTCTTAAGTCTCTATTGCATTGATTTCTGCTCTGATTTTTATAATTTCTTCCCTTCTTTTGGCTTTGGGCTTGACTTGCTCTTCTTTTTGTAGATGTTTGAGGTGTAGCATCAGGCTGTTTATTTGTATTCGTTCTGTTTTCCTAAAGTGGGAACTCAGTGCAATAAATTTTTCTCTGAGGACTGCTTTCATTGCATCCCACAGATTCCAGTAAGTTGTATTTGCATATTTGTTTGCTTGTAGGTATCTTTAATTTCTTCTTTAATTTCTTCTGTGACCCACTGATTGCTTAAGAGTGTATTATTCAATTTCCATGTTTTTGTTGGGTGTTTGCAGTTTCTTTTATCATTAATTTCTAGTTTCACAGTGCTATGATCTGAAAACATGCATGGGATAATTTCAACTCTTTTGCATTTATTTAAATATGTTCTGTGGGCTAGTATACAGTCTATTTTAGAGAATGTCCCATGTGCTGCTGAGAAGAATATATATTCTGATGTTGTTGGATGAAACACTCTGTATATGTCTATCAAGTCCATTTGTTCACAGGTGTGATTCAGTTCTGTTATTTCTTTGCTGATTTTCTGTCTGGTTGATCTGTCCTTTGGTGTCAATGGTGTGTTAAGGTCTCCTGTTATAATTGTGTTATTGCTAACTTTATTTTTCATTTCTTTTAACACTTGCTTTGCATAACTGGGTCCTCTGGAATTTGGTGCATATATATTTAAGATAGTTATCTCTTCTTCTTTAAGTTTCCCCCTAACCAGTAGGTAGTGACCTTCTTTATCTCTTAGGATCATTCTTGGTTTGAAGTTCAATTGTCTGCAAACAGAATAGCTACCCCCACTTTTTTTCCAGTTCCCGTTGAATGAAGTATTGTTTTCCATCCTTTGACTTTCAGTCTGTGAGTTTCCTTTTGCGTTAGAAGGATTTCTTATAGATAGCATATGGTTGTATGTTGTTTCTTGATCCATTCTGCAGTCTGTTTCATTTAATTGGTGAATTGAGACCATTTACATTAATGCTTATAACTGTTATATATTGGTTTATTGTTGACATGTTATCTTTCTGTTCTGTTTAATTGTCTGCTTTGCTTAGTGGTCTTTTCCTATGTGTATCTAGACTGTCTTTCAGTTTTCTTTCCAGGATTGGATTGGTGATCATGAAGTTCTTCACCTATTCTTTGTCATGGAAGTATCTTATTTTTCCATCCATTTTTAAGGTCAATTTTGCATGGTACAACAGTCTAGGTTGAAAATCATTTTCCTTTAGGATCTGAAATACTTCACTTCATGCTGTTCTTGACTTCATTGCTTGTGTTGAGAAGTCTGCTGTGATTTTGATAGGTTTTCCTTTATAGGTAATCTGTCTTTTGTCTCTAACAGATTTTAATATTTTATTTTTATGTTGAATTTCTGGGATGGTGATTATTATATGTCTGAGTGTAGTTTTATTTTGGTTATGGCTATTTGGGGTTCTATATGCTTCCCTAATCCTAAAGTCAGTTTCCAGTCTCATGTTCGGGGAATTTTCAGCTATTACATTTGTAAATGTCCTCTTGATATCATTTATGTTGTCCTCTTCTTTTTCATTTATCCCTATCAATCTTATGCTGTTTTTCTTTGCATCATCTTGCAGCTGTTGAATTGTTGTTTCCTGATTTTTTGCTATTTTTAAAATATCTTTCCTTTCCTGTTCACTAGATGCAATCTTGTCTTCAAGGTCTGAAACACTATCTTCATTTTCATTGAGTCTGTTTTGACAACTTTCAATGGAATTCTTGATTTCCTGCATATCTCTTTGAATCTGCTTCATGTATTCTGTTTGTTTTTTATATTGTTCATCCAGGGATTCTATCTTTTTGTTTTGTTCCTCTAATATTTTAACTGTGTCTTCTTTAGATGTGTTCAACATGTGTTTGATTACTTTTATCATTTGTTCTTTTACCTGGGAGGTTATTTCTAGTTTGAATTCCTTTAAAGTTTCCTAGAGTTTCTTCTTTATTTCAGTTGCTTTTGTGTCAGGTATTTCAGGTGTATGGCATATATTTTCTTCTATGTACATGGTTTCTAGGTTTTTGTGGGATGGGCTGGAGGTTTGAGATTGCATTTTGGTCTTTCGTTTTGTCATTTTCCTATACTTCTGTGTTTCAAGTGTTTTCCCAAGGCTTCCCCTGGGCATGTTTGAAATCATCTCCTATGCCCTCAACTCCTGGGACTGAATGGAGGTTGCTGAATGTGGTCCAGTCAGGCCCTCAGGCCTTCCCATGCCACCTCCAGTGTTTCAGGAAGCTAGGAAGTCACCTATCCACTGTGGTGATGGTCCAAAGCTCTCCCCAGGCAAGAACCAATGCACTGGAACTCACTTTATGTGCCCTTTATGTGGAATTCACTTTATGTGGTTAGGAAGTCACCTAACCACTGTGGATGATGGTCCAAAGCTCTCCCCGGGCAGGGACCAATGCGCTGGAACTCACTTTAACTCCCCTGATTGAAGAAGGTCGCTGGGCATAATTTTGTCAGGCTGCAAAACCTC